CTTCTGAATACTTAAGTATTTTCAAAAGTAAGTACTTCAGTACTTTTACTTGAGTAGATTTTTGACTGAGTAACTTTTACTTGTAGTGGAGTAGATTTGACCACGAGTATCAATACTTTTACTCAAGTACTAGAGTTGAGTACTTTGTCCACCACTGGTCAGGGCTGAGAGTTTGGATCTGTGTGAAACAGGAACAGGAACAGGAACATGGAAACAAACAGCACATGTGACAATCGTTGTTTTGGTTAATGAACCATTGTTTACATTTTAACAGGTAGGAAATATTTCTGTTGTCATCATGTCATGTTTGTATTTTTCAGTCTTATTGATGTGAGTTTTAGATAAAGCATGCAGTAAAAGTATAAAAATAACCGCCTCTCATGAAACAGCTACAGGTTATCTTGTGAAGTCTAACTCCTGTTTGTTTTTCTGCTCCTCCAGCCGGAGAGTCTGGCTCAGCAGACACAGTGCGAGATCCTAGAGGCTTTGCTGTCAAGTTTTACACCGAAGAGGGCAACTGGGACCTGACGGGCAACAACACCCCCATCTTCTTCATCAGGGATGCCATGCTGGTGATTCAGGGTTCAGAGTTGTTGTAGGGCCAGGTGTACAACATGCTGTGAGAGGAGCATCATCAGGTACAACTCGTGAAGTTCATCACTCATCTTCTCTGCTTTCAGTTCCCATCCTTCATCCATTCTCAGAAGCGTAATCCTCAAACGCACCTGAAGGACCCTGACATGGTGTGGGACTTCTGGAGCCTGAGGCCTGAGAGTCTCCATCAGGTAGCTGTGTCTGAGCCTGGGACTGTTTGTGTTTGGACAGTTTTGTACATAAAGAGTACTTCTTTAGTGGCCGTTGGCATGTCAGTTTACAAATCAACATTCATTCTTAGCTAAAGTAATTGCTGCAGACCAAAGTGAAAGGTATTTGATGTTTGAATGAGTCTTTTGTCTCATCAGGTGTCGTTCCTGTTCAGTGACCGAGGCCTGCCTGATGGTTTCCGTCACATGAATGGATATGGCTCTCACACCTTCAAACTGCTCAACGCTGGTGGACAGTGTGTTTACTGCAAGTTCCACTACAAGGTCTGCATCAAACCACATTAACTGCCTGTGTCCTCTGAGCTCACTCATGCATAACTGGGATCATTTTTAATCTACTTCCAGACTGATCAAGGAATCAAAAACCTTCCAGTGGAGGAGGCAGACCGTCTGGCATCCACCAACCCAGACTATGCACTGGGAGACCTGTTCAATGCTATCGCAAATGGCAACTACCCATCCTGGACCTTTTACATCCAAGTCATGAGCTTTGAGCAGGCTGAGAGTTTCCCCTTCAACCCCTTTGATCTCACTAAGGTACTGTATCTGTTCTCTAATCTAACAGCACTCATATTCCACCAGGGTTAAATATTTACTTCCTGTTTTAGAAATAGAAACACTTTAAGTTCTAGTTTATTTCTACAGCTCCAAGTCCCAACATACGTTGTCTCAGGACACTGTAGATAAAAAGAACAATGTAAAGAAGAAAGCAGCAGATTGTGTTGAATCACTTCATCACAGTCTCCATCCTGAGCAAACGGTGGAGAGGAAAAACTCCCTGCTAATCAGGAAGAAACCTCCAGCAGAACCAGGCTCAGGACAGGAGACCATCTGCCTCGACCAGCTGGTTGGAGGACAGGAAAGAGACAGACAAACACAGAAGAACTGGTCCGGGACTGGTCCAGGTGCACCTTCTTCTGG